GAGAGCAGTATTGCATATCAGTAGGTGATTTGGACGTAGTCGGAGTGAAATACTTGCTTCAGTCTTTGATAAACGGTGCATATCTAGGCTGTTTGTGAATGACCCCTTTAAATTTTATTTTGACTTTTCAATTAGCAAGAAGAACTTTGTAGATACCGGGTTCCCTAGGATAATGCAGGCACTACAATACCCCGTTTGCATCCAAGAATGCATTAACTTCAATCATGCAAACATGTATATTTGTTATTTACCTTATGCTACGCGTCTCGTGCCTGCCATTACGGAAAAGTCAAAATACTGTTTGACAGGTTATATGCTAACAACTTGTTGTCACCTTGAACAACGGAGCATTTTCACTCTCTGCCCGAAGAAAGGAGCTTTAACTCAATAGTTTTAGTTATCTCAAATGTATTATTTCCTTGCGCATTCCATCGCTAGACCACACGAATGAAATGAACCCCGAGAAGGCAACATGAAAGTCCACGCTCTACAATGTGTTTGTTAGTATTCTTTGTTAGGTTTGCTAAAAAGAGATATTGAGAAATCTGTACGTCGCCGGGTCTACTACACTTCTTGTTCAAGATCACCACTATTTAATTCTTAACAACTTAAGGTCAATTAATGTTTTACTTTTGTACCCCAACGCTCCTGTTTGAAGTAACGCCGTTTAGATTTGCAACAAACGCTGGGTGGATTTTAGCATTTAGCAAATATAATGTCTCACTTAAAACGTCAACCGTAATCATCATTTTTTGAAAGTGCATATTTTAACTTAGACGGGGCACATCGGTTGATGACAGTATCCTCTATTGGGCCTAAAGTGACGTTTGGGAGGAACATTTTAAGATCTCATGTTCTCGATTAAGAGAGATTTTAGATAGAGCGATTTTCTTGCAGTGGCACACGAGTCGTAATTTCTTATCTACAGCTTTCTGTTCCTTGAGTTTTAGTGAAACGGCGGATTGAGTTTTTGAAAGTAAGAAAATGCAATAGATTTTTCACAAGGTTGTATGGGCAGAAACAAATGTTGTGAGTTGCTTTTAGTGTTCCTGTCCGGGCATCATACCTGGCCTCAAGGAGGCATACCTTGATACCTCTCAAAATAAACCCCCTAAAATCATAATTGCTGTGTTCTTGCATATTTCCTTTGATGTTTTTTAACTTAAAGTATCCTTTCAAAATCAGTGCGAATTTACAACCAATGACTCGACAAATACTCTCGTGACACTATATGTCACAGATTTAACCCTACTCCGAATCACCACTCTCAACTAATACAATATCTGATCAGATGCCATCCTGTTTTCCGACGACATAAAATTGTGGAAAGTTATTCACAATGCGGCAGACGCAGACCACCTACAAGCAAACATGAACAGGCTCGAAGACTGGTCGAAGCGTTGTCATATGCCCTTCAATATAAGCAAATGCAACTTTCTTCAACTCGGCAGCTTCAGAGCTCCCAGCCCCGGGACTTACGTTCTAGACGGCACACCACTGCAACAGGTTGACAGTCAGAAAGACTTGTGTGTATGGATTACATATTCACTCACTGCACTGCGCGAAGGCGGCTAAATCGGCTATGGCTACACTGCAAATCATTAAGCGAGCATTTATGGGATCAGACCCAGGCAGCTTTTCAAGAACATTTGGCATCTAAGTGAGGCCTCATCTAGAATACGCCATACAGGCGTGGAGACCTTGGAATGCCAAGGATTATGCGGTTTTGGAGAAGGTCCAGAGACGGGCGACCAAAATGACACAAGGTCTGGGAGCGCTGTCTTACGAAACCCGACTGTCAACTCTCAACCTGTTTCCCTTTTCCTACAGGCAATTACGTGGTGACCTTATACTAACATTTCGCATTATCAACGGACTAGACTGTTGTTCCGATCCCACTGATTATTTCACCCAGGCTAACACGCCCACTTTGCACGGTGATCCCCTAAAACTGCGCGTAGGGAAATCAAGAATCAGTGGGCGAAAGTTCTTTTTCAGTAACAGAGTGATTGCAGCGTGGAATTCCCTGCCCACCGATGTTGTACTCTCCTCCTGCGTGAATTCCTTCAAGTGTAGACTTGACGCACATCAATCTTCCCAACTGCCAGCCTCACGTCCACTCACATAACCCGGCACCAACTTATACGTATTATATTACTTGTAATTAGTAAGTAACCGTGAATGATTGCTCTTTTTCGACTAGCTGTCAGCTGTTCGCGATTATGTACAAAAACCCTTTTTCAACTTCCCACTTACCAGACATTTTCTCCGACGACTTGTAACCAATAGGGAGTTCAAAGTCATTCACCTATATTTCCCTTAATAAACTGAAACTGATTCAGCGGCCACTGTTCATCGTCAGTTTATCTGATTATCGATAATTCGCCAACCACACGGAACCGCATTTATTAATGGTAATAGATTGTTTTGCAGGCATCAAGCGTGCATAAGTGATCTTTTTAAATGACAGGAACAACGTAACTGGAACAATTATGCCAAAATGAAACAGAACAAATGCGGAACGGGACAGATTAATCAACCGCCACCACAGTAGCACAAATTATTATAACCGAATTTTATCTTAAATGTGCCAACTTTATTTGCCGACTTTTGGTTCCTTTATGGCAGAAAAACTGATTAAAATGGTTGACATCCATGGGCGGAAAACTCCAAATTGTTTTAACTTCGAAATACATCTTAGTGGCTTAGCAAATAATTCACACGATCTTCTAGTCTGGATGTTTGACAATGCGATACAAGCGCGTCATTAGCTTTTAATAAATGACGTCGATTTACTGAGAAGAAAACTAAATTGCTACTTTACCTTTATTCTTTATTCGACAGAAATCAATCAGTCTAATTAAGGTCCAGAAGCTTATGTTGCTCAGCATTCGGCTTATTCTCTGACAGACAGACGGACAGTCGTTTATCGAGCTGGACGAAGAACATACATACTATATTCAACTCTGGAGGTTTGTGTAAGTCTTGAAACCGCCTCGGAGACCTCATTAATGAATGTTTAAACTATTTTATCCAGCAAACCACGAGTGGGATGAGCAGAGACGGTTATATGAACAGCAACTCGAAGTCTGGAAGGTTAAAGGAGTCGCCGAGGTGGTTTCATGGCAGTTACAAACCGCTAGAACAGGCGTTACCCATCGATCCCAGGCAAAAATCCGTCGCCACAGGGTTTTGTGTTTGTATCTTGTGTGCTTAGATTGTAATTCTCTCCGTGCGGCTAAACTTTCCTCGTCATACTCCAATTTATTTCTGTTCCTGTTTCTGTATATTCAGATTCGTAAGGCCCTCCTAATTTGTTTGCTGTAAGTCAGCTTGGCTATGGTCTTAGTTTATACGTACAAAAGTACTTTCAATCCAGACATGGCATTTACTCCGCAAACGAGTATTATTATAGTCTCTCCAGCATGCAAACTTACTTGAGCGTCTACTATTTGAACCGAGCATTCTTTTCCAGGGAAATTTTTTATGGACTGACGAACATTTATGATTCGCTGATTTACGTTTCGCATTAATTCTTGTTTAGTCTCACTGCCTGTTTTATATATTTAGTGTAACGACAAAACATTTTATTAAACGCCGGAATCCCTGTCTGCACTTGAACCCCTCAGAAACTGATTTTTTCAGGCTATTCATGAGAATCCCACTCGCATTTAACAAAGACCGATGGTTGTGGAGAGAGTCGTGTATATTTAATTCGATGCTATTTGCACGATGAGTGGTTATATCGATTCCAAGGCACATCTACAGAGCTATCCTTCAAAATTTTGGGCAAATGTCTGACCAGCTGAGGCGTAGGCAAGACGGCGATATTTAGTTTTGATTCATTTACTCTGTGTGGGTCGGCATTCTGTTCTCCTAGTTTCATAAACTGGGTACCTGACCGAACGGGTCACTTGGTAGATGCGCTGGAACAAAATAGGGGCTAGATCGGAGTTGGAAAACGTTATCGTAAATGCACAACCTTAACAAATACCAACATTTCCGGGTGTGGCAGCGGACCGCGTTTCCCGCTCACGTCATGCCAACTGGGATCCCTGCCGTCCTCAATGCTTTTGTTGATTAAAGCAAGCGATTCAATCGTTGCTGTGAACCGCAGGGATTATGGTGGTTTGACTATGTACGGGTTTACGTCGTGCCAGCCGCCAGCACCCTGCTCCACCTCCGGTCTTCGCGACTTGGTCATGATACCGGACTCAGGCTGGCAGGAAGAAAAGAGTGCGTTAGATGCTTTGCAAGTCCACCATCACTGTAAACTAATCCACGCGCAATTAACCGTTTCTGCTCTTGCCCTGATGTGGGGCATACGGTGATCATTGTCGAAGCCGACGGTCGAACTGTCACTTGACCGAGCTCCCAAAGAATTCTGAAGCAAATAGGCAGTTTATCGGGAATAAGGTGACGAATCCCACGACTCTTGACTTAATAGTTTATTACGAATTAAGAAGAATTAAGAATAAAATGCAATCGCCAGAGTAAAAGCATCATTGGATACAACCGCAGAAAATGGACAATTTACTATTCAAGCCACCGGCCAACATCCCAAAGCTAGCTTCCTAGTATAGCACGTAAACCAAATCATGACAAACAGCACACAAACGTTTACATTCCCGCAAATTTTCCACTCAATGGCCCCTTCTCCCTCCAACTTTACTGGCCTGATTAGAATGCTTTAAGTGTTTACGAAGGCCAACCGAACGGTCTTCACTTACCAATAGCAATATTCGCAGACATGTTATCCTTGCGTACCTACCAGACATTAAGAGCATTTAAGAGTACATATTTACTTTGATGAACTCAAAAGATGTTCTTGCATGATAATAGTTCAATATTTTATTCAAATAGTGCTGTAAAAACGACATGCAGAAGTAAAAAAAGAAGAAGGGTTTGCCTCTGCAGGACAAAGTGGACCAGAATGAAAGATGCATTGATCAGGTTCTTCGGGGTTGTGTGTCAAGATGCAAAGCCGTGGTCCCCAAAAATTAGTTCAGGAGGCGAGCAATTACAAAGATGCAGAACGAGCTTATGGCCAAATTGTTCCTCAAGCCCGAGTCTTTGTACTTCGAACATTGATTTTTCACGCAGTAGTCCGTCTTTGCGCATTGACTGCAACTGGGTCCGCTCACGTAGGGCCTCATTCTATTCATATTCCCCCTGAAAAGTGAAAAAATAGGCCAAAGTGTACGAATAATGTTGCTGATTCGTCAGTTTTTAACGGGAGATCTGCAATTTCTGCGATCAAACAGTTGCTTTTGGGGATAATGCACATTACCCCATAAAACGTAGACAACGTACATATTTAAATCGGAAAATTTTGGGCAGTAAGAATTACCGGTGTCGCCGTAGACGTGAATAATTCACCTGACTGTATCAGACAAACCCCGGCGACCTCGATGGAATATGGACTCACGAGAGCAAAGCTTCATCATGATCAACGTTTTAACCGCCTGATCTATGAGTCTCCACTGCGAGAGCCATGAATTCAATCCTTTTTACTTCACGCTGATTGTCCAGGTTATTGCAACATATGGGAGCCACTTCGTGGTCATCTCGTGGATGCTAGATTGCTTGCTTAGAAAATCCTGCTTGAGCAGTCATGTTACTGTATCAGATTTGTTTACGAGGGTAATATGGCCCACGCGTGATTAACTCCACAGCCGCAGATGAGGCCTCGCATAAAGGGAGTTTAGAACGTTGGCTTTGCCCAAGGCTTATCCTTGCTGCCAAAGGTTCGCATCATAATGAGGCTGCCGCGTTTTCCACAATTAGTTAGACAAATGTATGAGTTTGAATGTCAAGCAATTCGGGAACATTTCACACAACGATTTTGGTTCTTTTCGACAAGTGAATCTACCAAATAACCGAGAAAATTTGGGAGACGCATTTGCGCACGTGGCATAAAATCCGACTGTTTTAGTTTGTGTGTCACTTCGCTGATGCCTAATGAAATTACTCTGTCTCCTATAATTAAGATTTCATGTCTTGTAAGTTCGGTTAAGTTCAGCTTTATTTAGATAAAGACAGGCGGACGCCTTCAAACTCCCTGTAACGCCTTTGTTCCTCCTTTTTAAATTTGCAACTTATGTCTAGTTAGATCGGTCGTATGTTAGCGTTGCGTTTTCGAGTGTCTTTCGAGTGTCGAATTTCTCAAGTGAACAGTTGGCGGTCACGTCATTTGTCGTAGGACCTAATCAAGTATTTTGCAATTGATTAAGTTTGTGGCTGAGTGGAGCGTATGTCATGACGTCTGGTCGAGTGTATCAGTGTTCAATAAGCCGCTGAGTTAAAATTAGTTCTTATATCAGGCGGTTGTCAGTTTACTAAGTAAACATATAATCAGAAATAGTAGAACACCTATTAGTGGACTTACTGTGGTTTGTATTGGCAGGCTACGAGGTATCCCTCAGCGTATCCGCTCATGATGCCCGGACACGATTTCCAAGCGCAACCCACGGCATTTGATTTTGCCCACACAACCTTTTAAATATAAAGTTTTAAAATATAATAATCTACTTTATTCATGTACTCAAGTTTGCTTTCTAATGAAAGATCGGATATAGAAAACAACAATCTCATTGCGTATATTTGGATAATGAAACAATGGCGTTTTACCAAAAAAGATTTTTTTGTGGGAAATTAAAACGAAGCAGTTGTATCAAGACAATCACCGGAGTTGACAGCAAATCAAACTTTTGAGTACAGCTGTGAATGAAAACATGAGTGTCCCTTGATAATCAAAAAAGATCTAAACTTTCAAGAAATTCTCGATTTCACATCGAGCGCTTTTCTTTGGAAACGCACCCTAATTCTGCAGAAAAAAACAAAAATACCATTAAAAGAAAGCAAATTATTTGGACCTGCCATTCATACTAAGAAATATTCTCAACAGGCATACTCAGTATGCTGTATGCCTGTCTCGATTTTAGAAAAAGAGCAACAATTTCAACTCCATTTCTATCAGTACAGCCGTATAAGCTTCCGATCAGCGCATGGTTACGAGGGAAACAACAAGAAGTAGAATCGATTGCTGGAACATGAAGTTTATTCGCCTAACGCTTCCGACGTTTGCTCGAACATATCATCGGAGACAGGGACAGTATCTGTCGGTAATAAAGGTGAGCATATAACCGCCTCATAAAGCATAATTTAGAACGGCAAAAATGGTGAGACAAATTCAAAGTAAACAGCCAATCTCGCACACATACAAACCTGCGTATAATGTCCACAGACACCGGAGCATTGGTTCGTTGAGTAAACGTACTTCGCCTTTTCACGATTCCAACCCGACACCGAACTCTCGTAAAGGTCTGCTGGCTTGGCTCCACCAAACACAGCCAGATTTTGCCCTACGCCATTGTACTCTCGATCAACTCGGGGGTCGGGATGTCGAAACACACATTTCTCCACCCATTTAGCGGCCAGGGTTTCCATTTCCGCCGAGTATGTCTTAAGAATGGAATAATATTTTCAAGCCAACATAGGCGTCATTTTATCGACATGTTTGGTGAACTGGTAAAATGCGATCGTTACAAAAAATATATCGAGTGAATCTAATTTCATTTACGATGACTAATAGATGCCGCTTAGTTTCCGACCTCACAATATCAAGACGTTCTGGCAGGGAGGGCAGAAGTGTTTCTCATATCTCTGCCGTAAAATATAATTCACATACGTTTAGAATCGCAGTTTCATCCTAGTGGTTGACATTTTACTACTAGCCCTTTGATTATTCACACTTATTTTCCATATTTTGTGAAGTCAGATGTGTATCTGCTCCAGGAATAACATATTCCCCCGAAAACGAAAATCGATTTAAATAATTCAGACTAATATTTTAACTAATCGAATTAGCAGAAGCGAAATAAACACCTATAAATACAAGAGCGAATTGTGCGCTCATTTCCTGATCCCCATTCTCGTTGGATGTTCTTATGGCAACCCCAAGTTCGGAAATCCCATGCTGCATAATGCAACTCTTAGACGCAGCGGGTGTGGTGCGCTTAGGACTGTAACCAGACTGCTGAATAATCGTCTCCTGTGGGCAACGTTTATTTTTAACATTATTCTGATAAAACGTCAATTGCACATCGCAGACATTTTAATATCGTATATGGCTCGCCGTAAATAGCAAATGCTTCAGCTATTAACGAGGACAGACGATCATGGAACAAGAGCTACACTTTGTCATATCTCCGCTAATTATTCCATACAATGCAATCTTGCGTAAAAAGTTGCAATTCCAAAAAGGTTTCCTCGAAGGAATGCCGGCGATTGCAACATAATACTATAAGTTACTAAGACTACGGGATAGCAGACTTAAATAACACACGGTTGGTGAATGAACACGGATCGGGTGAATTGAGGCTGACAGCAGACGTATTTGAAACTTAAAATAATAGCTGCTTCAAGCACACAATGAGTATTGCGCTTTGGGGTAGAAATACAGTAAGTGGGCTAACTTATAAAATGTCAACCGAAATTCCGAATTGCGTTTTCGTTTCGAAAGGATTAATTAAGTAGGGTTGTAACACTAATCATTCTACAGCATAAATCTATAATAATACAGCTACCTCAGGATGCAGCCTTTCTGATAAAAACCATTTTCGGGCCGCACGCCAAAAACCATACTGTGTAAAAATGAATGCTCATGTAGCATGCAGTATTCTCATTGATTTTTGATTACCTTAAATATTTAATTATAGTCCATGGAAAACGTGCATAAAACTATTCATTCTTTAGCTCCTTTGGTAAACAATTTCGTCTTCTCCCAATTTTATACTAGAAGAAAGGGTAGAATTCGGCTTTCAAAAACATTTCCAATTCTCGAATAATTTTGACCCCGCTCTACTGTTGCACTTGGATTCAGGATTTCGAAATTACAAGCCGTTTATTTTCTGCATACAGAAAACCTCACATTTCTCTACGGTAAAAAAAGGAGACCATATAGAGTTCATAAAATTGAGCAGTGGATTTGATTCATATTGTTAACTTTACAGGCCACATCGATAAATGCAGAGACATGTCGTTTTATGGACGGCCGTTTCACGGTATTAAAATTCTCACAATTAGAAACCCTTTTGAGACCGAATTCTACACTTCCTTTGAGTATAAAATTGAAGATAGACGTCATTTTTAGCGAATGAACAAATAGAATATTTTATGTCTGTTTCCATGAAATATAATTGAAATTTTAAGGGCATTAAAAATCAATGAGAAAATGTATGCTACATAAGCAGTCATTTTTAGAGTATAGTTTCTACATGCAGCCAAAAACAAGTTCTTTCAAAAGCCGGCATCCTGAGGTAACTAGATCATTACAAACCTATGCTACAGACTGATTAATTTTACAGCTCTACTCAATTATTTCTTTCAAAGCGAAAACGCATTTCGGAATTTCGGTTGACATTTCATGAGGTAGCTCACCTACTGCATGCCACAAAGACACTTTAATTTTTCGACATCAATAGGATTATTTCGCAAAACAATCTGAATATCTAATAACCTTTAATCAGTTTTACCTTTCCGATGACATTTAACAGTTTTCATTATCTACACCAGCCTGGCATATTTAATTAACTAAGTTGTACTGTTATCGAAACAAAGTAAAAAGATAGTGCGCTTCTTTCTTACAGAATGTCTTTTAGTTTTTAACGCGAAGACACATGCGGTTTACCGTTACAGAGTATTTAAATAGAAATACGGTTGAGAGCAGTAGGTGATTTAGATTACTGTGTCCACCCAGATGTTTGCTGAATTAGGCGTCAGTAATAGTGACACTTATTTCACATCTTGACTGACTAACAGAAAATATATTACGCATGCATGTGCCTCAGGTGGAGACCACCATAGGCTACAAAGCGCCAATTTCTGTAATTATGGTAGGAACAGACGTCGGCGGTACCAGGAAGACCGAATAACTTCGCCGATGACGAAAGTACATCTGATAGTATTAACCCAGAGCTATTCCAGTACACGTTTGGAAACTGGGCGTGAGGTTGATGGATTCCACACCTGCTTGGGATGTTTTCAAGCGAAGGAGACACGATTGCTTGAACAACAGCTCTATTCCCCTGACGTCTCGGAGTCCTGCTCGAACCTATCATCAGGAACAATAGCAGGTACGGGTAGTTCACGCACAAGGGACTGCACTCGCTACTCTATCGCAGATCTAGGAAAATAAATGTCTTTCCAATTCATCAGGGATTTTTGCACTTGGTGTGAGGATTGTTTGATGGCGAACATTCGAGTCGTAAATCATTACAATTTCATCACGGGTGTTGGGTGTTACTGTGATGGTTGCTTGACCATCTGACCCACCAACCCTGGCGTTGGATACAGTGTTCGCCTGTGGTCTTCCTCCCACGGTTAATAACTCCGCCTAAGCGAAGTCTGAGCACCGAGTATGGAAGGGGAAGGTTACTGCACTTGTTAATAGACTGCGGGCCAGTGAACCGGGACTCAAGCAGCTTAAGGATCACGCGGTTGTCTCCTCTAGCGAAAATTTCGGCCTCTTCGAATTTGAATGTGATATCGGATCCCGTCGAATGAGCTGTAACTTTTGAGCTGGGGTCATTTCTCCGCAAAGCTGCAGCGTGTTCGGCCATTCACATTCTGAGCTGTCTTTCAGTGTTTCTGACGTAGTTACTCTGTCCGCAACTGCTTCAGATTTAATAAACGACTCCAGACGTTTCTGGCCGCTGCAGTAGGTATTTCGCTTTCCTTATCTGACGCCTGATAGCTGTGTGCAGTCTGCGTGCAACTTCATCCTTAAATATCTTTGACGTAGAGAAGCACCAACTTAAATTTGGGATCCGTGAGATTCGGCCTTCCGTATCGTATGCACCGGTTGACGAAGTTGCGGGGATGGCTATTGGTTTTGAGCACCCGTGGAAGGTATTTTAGTTCGACATTAGTTGCCAAATGGCACTTCTACGCATTTCGACCACTTTTCCTTCACGGATACAAATTATTCGGATGTATGGTTTCGGTCATATACAGGTCTGTTGATTCCCCTTTTTGATGTGAGAGCCTCATGCTATGTTAAAATTAATGATCATAAATTTAAAGAGAAGCATTATGATTGACACAGTCGTTGCCGTCTCTCTCGGTTCGGAACAATGATCCGCTGGCGGGCGTCTAATGGCTGCCCTACTAATAAAACAGATGAACTCGCGCGGACGAGCATAGACGGCAGACAAGTGACACCCAAAAACTGACTTCTTCATTGCTTCGGGATTTTGAGGTGCCTTCTGACGATATTAAACCGGTGTAATTTGCCTTGGATAGGCGTTCTTATACTTATTTAACTGTCAGCCTTTTGCTATGTGGCTACGTATCACGCCTGACATATTTCCGACAGTCATAAGCGATTATATGAACGAAAATGTGGCACTGTGACCAGACATTCTGTTTGTCGCTAAACAACCCTGAGCGGCAGTGATCCTCTATTTGTTCCTCATTATTAGGCCAAATGTTTTCATATTTTTGCCAATTAAAGCTTTCTCCCTAAGTGCAAGACGTCCTGTGTTACCAAAAGAAAGGAAACTTCCTCTGTTAAATCATTGTGAATTTGTTTCAAGTAGAAAAATTAACGTAGTCATTGTACTTACCATCAGTTGCATGTCAGCTGCAGGTGGATTGACCTTTTCTCTTTCATTATTATGCAAATCGAGAATTTTTTTCCTCTCTTCACCAGAAGCCGCACAGATCGATTTAACGTTGATGACTGACAAGATAAACAAGAACGCATGCATGACTGGTCCCGCAGAGTGGAAATTGGCTTCTTTTATTCTGAAATAACAGAATGGGTTCAGTTGAGAATTAAATAGAGAACTGCCTGTGTCTCCTTTCAGAGAGAGGTCAATGTTTTAGGGTTCTCACAATGAATCGGATATTCTAATTTTTCACTGTGTTCACATCAAGACTATATTTGTTGCTTTGTGACTGCCAAAAACTAGACAAAACCTAGCTCTGTCTAATGATAAGTGAACTTTATTCCTATGCTTGATATGCAGATAACATTTTTGTAATAACGGAAAAAAACACTGATTCAAACCCCCTACAGTGTAAGGAGAATCAGACTCACCCAACTTCAACCTCATTTTAGAAAAAAGAGAACAGAGAGCTTCTCCACTTTTGGGTGTTTTACTTAACCGAATTTCGGATGGAACAATTAATAGAGGTTTTTTCGGAAGGTAACATAGAAAAAACAATACATAGATATATGCAATTTCATTCAGCTCAACCACTGCCCCACCTATTGAGCTAGGAGAACAAGCACTCCAAATAGGTTTAGGACTGACCTCTTTATTATACAAAATACTGAGATGCAAAGTAGAAAAGTTCAATGCTAAAATGAAACTTATATTTACTGCCAAAAATGAGTATTTACTATCATACCTATGTCCATACGTCACACTTTTTTATTCTTTCAGCTTTAAAAAACTCCGCGAACGTGCCACCTAAGTTTTTAATTAACTAGTGGAATGAATATTAATATAGTAAACATTTGCCCATGATTGCGAGTATCAGCAAAAACCGCTTTTGTGCTCATTTCACATTTTTTCCGTTTGCTCTTCGAACGCTTGTACATTGCTTGAGCAAACGCTAACAGCAAACATCAATCACTGGTCAGAGATTTCTGTTCCTCAGTCTTCCAATGCCTACGCAATTATATGACATTATCAAAAATAAAATATCGTTTGTGAAACACACCGTAAAACCCAAAGCATTTAAAATCCTTAGACATTATTTGCTAACCTGAAATAAGTTATTATTTTAAGTCTTAAACTTAGCCCACACATGCTGGATTATATATAGATTAGCCGATTTTGTAAACAAACTTGCTCAATGACGTCAGTGGCGATGATTGGTGAGGATTTGCAGACTTCTCCTAAGTGGTGCCTTTTTCTTATGCAGACAAACACACTGCAATGGCATATGTTATTCCCTTCTGCGCTGGGGTGTCTAATGAGACGGGGACGAATTCAAATATGCGCATCTTTTTAAACACGCACCTCTTACAGTTTATCAAGTTCGCACGAAATTCGCAAGTACGCGATAAAGCCCTTGTAGTATAATGTTTTCCGATTGGAGTTCGGTATTCTGCAGATTGATTAATCAAAGCAGGCCTTCGGCAACATTCAACCGGAGACTTATACAAGTGATTATGACAGATGGGCGCTCACCGATCAGGTTACAGAACATGCTCGTTCTGTTGTGCCTTGGGGCTAATAAGCCAGAAATGGCCATTCCGGTCTCCCTTGGCTTTGTCGGTATCACCTTATCTACTTATACTAGTGTTAAAACATCGCAATTTCCCTTAAGCAGAATGATGATAAATATTGCCTTATTGATACTTCATGGTGGTTTGATAAATTTTCAGCTGGATGTGGTTTGGTAGCCCCACTCGAAGTAAACAAACCTCAGTTACCTCTAATACGAGACCGGAAGTAGTAGGGTTTTTTACAGGTGGGGCCGGAGAACGCACAGGCGACGAGGGCAAGTAGTTGCATGCAAAGCAAAAGCTTTTGGGAATGCGCGGTTGTACTTTGAATGGGTGCGAAATAGTTGCGATAACCCCTAACACCTAACTCTAACCCCTTATCCTAAACTCTAGCCCTCATCTCTAACATTCATCCCTGACCCTAACCCCTAGCTAGAGCACCTAACCCTAACTCCTGACTCTAACCCTTAATCCCAATCCCAAAATTATTATGTCCAAACCACACATTCCCAAATTTTCCTCCTAATATGACTGCGTGTTAGGACTGCGTTTTCATATCAAAAGCAAATTGACATCGCGTTTACGTCGCACCTCGCGCACATGAATGAGCTCAAAAACTTGGTATATGTATGCATTTTGGACAGCCACCGAATACCCTTTCAGTTTTGAGTGTTGGAATTTAAACACTACGTCCTCGTTGCAAAATAATTTAGTGGAACGACATATACAAGAACCTGGCCAGTAAATCCTCTGAAGTGGAGCGAAAAACGTAGCATGTGAAGCAAGTAATTATGTGTATATCTCCGTAAAAAATAACTTGCCCAAACAAATACGTAATGCGCTTGATCTATAAATCGGAATACTTCATAACGCGAAATTCAATGCGGCCTGGGGAAACTCACTTTTCTGAAATTCGCAGGAACGAAAAATAATCAATTGGGACCTGCTTGGCGGTATCGCAGAAACAAATATGGGGCGGCAACGGCTGAGTAAGTGAGTCTTACAGCAGTCAAAGGGGGAATGGATGTTCTATAGGGGAGGTAGTTAATTTGGGGATAGGAACGACTTTAATGTCGAGCATTATTCTGTCAACTTTGCTAGCAGTTAAGATTGAGTGGCTTTTGACTATGACCCTGGCTGCCTCGACGTTCAAGGAGTGTACTTACCAGATGGCCGTAAAGTCTAGCTAATGAATATGAAACCAAAAATATGTAAGCAGGCTTCATAATTATTTGGGGCGTTGACCCGGCATTGTCAGTTCCTCTCAAGCATTTTGTTTACTCGTACTTCAGATTGCGCGGGTTTTAGCGCCTGACAGTTCTCTCTTTAATATTCTTCGGAAAAGAATACTTCCAAAAGTCTAGCACGATCGGCCCAACTGACTATGCATAATAATATCCTTACGGCCCAAATGCTCAGAGCAGGAGACTGTTTTGTGAAGCAAGCATCCAGAAGCCGACGATATGTTTGCACTACTGATCGTTAGCTAGTTTTGTTTTGCATAGGCCTTTAAGCTGCTATTATAAAAGAAATGTATACTGGAGACTCCTGAAAAATTCCATTACTGGATGCGAGTAGTCTTCACAAACAGAGATGCATTGATTAAAGCAAAAATTGGGTACACTTGTCCATAAAAAATTCTCGTTTCTCGATAAAGGCGGCGCCAATGCATCCCTTCGCTTTCGAGCTGCATATTATAAAGAATATACTAATAAAAATAAAAAGAGTACAAGCACATTTTACGTGGTGTTAGGATCAGAAGTAGGGACTGGAAAAAATAAGGGCATCGGATGAATTTTATTAAAATACACAGCAGCGTAGTAAAGGTCGAATGAAGCAGATATTGCTGGAAAATATAGGCTATTGTACGATTTATCCTTCGATCAATCGCGCTTATTTTCGGATTTTTGCAAATTTGTATATGCGATAATTTTAGGAATCGCGTCATATTCTGAACAATAAAAATATGAATAATTCATTTTATCGGTACGGCAAGTCAAATCGATGGGAGAGTACATAAATCTTCCCACAAAAGTTGAAAATTAAATGGTCTTTTCGGATGTTCCAGTTTTATCAGACTTCCTCATACAATCTCAAACTAAGATAAATAACTGGTCGAGTTCAAGTTCGTAGGGACGACCAATCGGGCATGTTCCTTGGTTAGCCGGAACGACGAACGATTCTTCCTCTCCGGTTGCTTTTTCTTCCAATAATCTTTCTGGCCAATTGTTAAATCGGCGCGTCAGACGTCTTGGTCGTAGAAGGGGCCAATAAATACACCTACCACTAGCACATACATCGCAAGAAGTTGAACTGATATGACAGTTCTGTGTTGCCTAAAATTTGCGCAGTCTGCGCATCCGCCCCACTTCTTTCTGAAAATGTCCCTTCTTTGTGCAGAACTTGATAGAATAGTTTTATTATGTGCAGTGATTTTTTAAATCAAAGCGAAATCCCAAATTTGGATAAGTTTTCTATACTGCTTGTTGTCATAAACTAAGTTTGGGCAGCCATGTAAGTTTTTTTGAGAGAGGAGTGTAAGTCCACCTCGGGCGTTTTGCACAATAGGATTTGCCGAAATTGCAAAGGCATTTTTATCTGTCGGTATTCCTGTTTTGCAGGTTACAATCAAACCAGTCATTTTGCGAAAACAACAGGTTTTGTCGAATTTGAAAAGCAGATCTGCGCATTTGTGTTTTATTGGGCACTCGAGTGTAGAAATAACTCTTACAGGTAATGCTTTGTTAAAATGTGATGATATCATTCCCAGATTTGAGAATCTACTATAAGAAACTGCCGAAATGAGTGCCATCAACTTGTCATTTTACACTGTGAAAATATCGGATGATACAGTTTATGAGCTTCTATGTGATCATAAAACAGAACAGGTTAAGTTTTACCAGTATCTCTATTATTTCAGTATTTATATTCCACCAACCTGTAAATATATAACCGAGGAACATAGCTTTAAAGCAATAAATGCTAAAATGGCCGCCCTATAACAAGAAAAGCAAATTCTTCCGTTTGCGGCATAAACAGGATCGGCATTTTTCAAAAGAGTGAAAACAGTTCAAGGGGTCAGATCATCTTCTGACCCTTCTGCTCTATATGGTCAGTTATCTAGAAATCCGTAACATAATGCGGTATTTATGCATTTTTAAACAGGCTTCATGTAAGGAAGAGTTTTTAAACCGACCAAAGGCCTTTTTACTGTCGACTTTTGACGAAGACATCGATTTTTTTCGACAACGAGAAGTTTTTGGGTGCTTCTTTAAATGTGACTCAAACGGTCGTCCGTATAAAAACGAGCACCCAAACACTTGATAAATCAGCGGCTGCTTTCAAGAGGCATTGTATATTGAAGATTCTGATAAATTTGTTTCATATCATGTATTT